GTTGTGAGGTCAGGGTGGTTACAAGATGTCCCAGGACACAGCCCTGGGGTGTAAGAGCTTCCAGGGATGGGGCAGCCACAGCTTCCCTGGGCAACCTGGGCCAGGCTCTCACCACCCTCACACCAAAGAATTTCCTCCTCATGTCTCACCTAAATCTCCCCTCTTCCAGTTTTAATCCATTCCTCCTCATCCCATCCCTCCCTGCCCTTGTCCCAAGTCCCTCCCCAGCTTTCCTGGAGCCCCTTCAGGCACTGGAAGCTGCTCTAAGGTCTCCCTGGAGCCTTCTCTTCTCCAGGCTGAACACCCCAACTCTCCCAGCCTGGCTCCAGAGCAGAGCTGCTCCAGCCCTCCCAGCATCTCTGTGACCTCCTCTGGACTCTCTCCAGCAGCTCCATGTCCTTCTTGTGTTGGAGGCTCCAGAACTGGACACAGTTCTCCAGGTGGAGAGCTGAGTAAAGGGGGACAATCCCTTCCTTTGGCATTCTGGCCACACTGCTGGGGATGCAACCCAGGACAGAGTTGATTTCTGGGCTGCAAGTTCCTTCTATTTGATTTGTGTTAATATGTCATTTGTGATGGGCCCTCCCACCAAGAGGCACTTCTGTTTCACCACCAGAGCTGGCCAGAAATGCTGGGCTGAAACAAATCCCTGGCAGGACACCCATGTTGGGCTGAACTCTGACATTTTATACATCCCTATGGATTTTTTACTGGATCCATTTTGTGAGGGCAAAGGTAGAACTTCCAGCTAAAAACTGAGCTGCCAAGAGATGGATCACAGGGCTGCTCAGAGGAAAGGTGAAGACCCAAAGCTTCATCCTCCACCGGGACCCTGCTCGGTGCCAAACCCTGCAGGCTCTCACTTAGCCCTTTCCTTTCCTCTGATGTGAAACAAGGTCATTTCAGACACTTCAAATCAGTTCTGCAGGATGGCAGAACCTCTCTCATGCTCTCCAGCCTTCCTGTCTTTCTCCTGTAATTTGAAAGAGATTCTCTTCATCTCTGGAATGTGTTGAGGGACAAACGCTCTGTGGTCACTGAAGTTTAACACCTCTGAAAAATGATCTTTGCTCCTCATTTATTTGGCTCTATAATAGAGGTTTTGACAATGGTTTATGGTGAGAGGACAAGGGGGAATGGATTAAAACTGGAAGAGGGGAAATTTAGATGAGATATTAGGAAGAAATTCTTTGGTGTGAGGGTGGTGAGAGCCTGGCCCAGGTTGCCCAGAGACGCTGTGGCTGCCCCATCCCTGGCAGTGTTGAAGGGCAGGTTGGATGGGGCTTGGAGCAGCCTGGGCTGGTGGGAGGTGTCCCTGCCCATGCAGGGGGGTTGGACTAGATGATTTTAAGGTCCTTTCCAACCCAAACCAGTCTGTGATTCTAGAAAATAACAATAAGAAGGATACCACCTACATCTCTGTGTTGGGAAACCTCCTCCTCTGGGAGCTTCAACTCTTAACCCTGTTTCTAAAGTGTTATAATAAGGAGACAGAGGGATTGATCCATCACTATCCACCTGGCAAAACCAGAATCAATGACCTTATAAGGCTGTCCAGCAGAGGCATCATGTCTGAACTGCCTCCCCAACTGGTCCCCTGGTGTGCTGGGAAGCCCTGGTGACTTCCCAGGTCTTGATCTGAGGTGGAGGAATTAAATCACTAACATGCTTTGTTTTCATGAGGTGTGACTGGGTCATGTTTGAGAGGTGGTTTGAGGGCCTCAGGTGAGCAAGCAGGGCTCGTGGGGTGCAGAAGGAGGGTGGGGGAAGGTCCTGCTACTCACGAGGGTTGTTGGGTTGGGTCTCCATGGGGATCATGAGCTTGGCCCGGGTGGCTCTGCGGGCAGCCAGCGAGCGCTCCAGCGTGGACATGCTGCTCCCAACCTCTTCTGTCTCAGGGCCTGGAGGCAAAACACAGCACAATCCCTCAGCTGCAAATGCTGCACAGGAGTGGTTTTCCTTCACCCTGTCTCTAGCAGAAAGATCAAGAGGGTTGGTGAGGGTTCAGCTGGTTTAGCTGCTCGTTAACCATCGTCACTAGCGAAGAGCAGCACTGGACTATTTGGGCTGCAGCTTGTGAACAAAGTGACTGTTGGCATTTTTCTGGAAGAGAACTAAGGTTTCTTATCCCCTCTTCCTTTGCCCCTGAAATGATCTTGAAATTATCTTTGGCTTCACAAAAAGGTGACCTTTGTCTTCTAACTTCCCCGTTGGAAACGGATTCGAAAACCCGAGTCTCCAGACCAGAGAAAAGCAGCACAAATTCAGCTGCCTCCCCAAACAAATGGTTCTTGGAAACACAGCTGAAGGATGAGAACAACCTTCCCTGTGAGAAGCCAGGGATGTCCTGGTTGTTCAGGCTGCAGACCTGGAAACTCACGGTGGTAACTCTGCTTCTTCATTTTTCTACAGAAACCAGGAGAAGATAAAGAGCAAAGACCTGGATCTTTCCCTTACTGGTGTCCCAACCAGTTCAAAACTGTCTCAGCAGCTACACAGATTTCTCTAGCTATTTCCAGGTAAGATACTCTGGTTAAGTATTGAAGTATGGATGTTCTAGTCACACCTGAAGTATTGCAATATTTTAGAGAATGCACTTGTCAGGAAGAACATGTGCTTGGGACTGGATGTTCAGTGAAGTGAGTGGCAGGGAAATAAAAGCTCCATTTCCCTCTCTTCACCCCTTGTTCCACACAAACCTTCTATGTCCTTCAGTTCCCATTTTCATAAGCTATGGATTAAATCAGTTTCATACAGTCCTGTGGGTAAGTTTCATAAGACCCACTCAAACTCTTCACCAAGCAAACATGCAGTCTTTAAAAAAGAAGCAAAAAAATCAAGATTTGCATGAAAAGACTATTTTTTCCCCCCCAAAAATACCCCTCTTCTCTGAATTGGAGGACTGAGAAGTCTTCTACCCATGGGCTGATTGGGAGAGGGAAAAGCCAGGATTCCTGAGCTGCCTGTTAGGGAATGAGAAGCAAACTAAACTCATTGTGATGGTCCTTCCAGCTCTCCTGGAGCCCTCACCTGGTTGTGGGGTGCTCTTGTTGCCCAGTTGTGTTTCTGACTGGCTGTGGCTCACGGGGGTGATGTCCTGGCAGCTCTGCATTGGGGAGTCCCTTCCTGCAGGGTCTGAGCCTGCTGGTTTCTCAATGTTCTTCATCTCCATCTCCTCGTGGTGGATCCACAGATCTGGAGGCCTCAGGTCCTTCTGGCTGCCTTTCCTTTTGGCAGCACTGTGGGTTGCACGTTTCCTGGAGGGACAGAAGTGTCACGTGAGAACCTTTTTCCCTGTCATAAAACCCTAAAAGGTGGTGCCTCCTCATGAGTGTCTTTCTGAGGAGCCCCTCTGAGTGTGGCCTTCAAAGGACAGCTCTTATCTTGGTGTGCTCCTTGGGGTTTGCTCCAGGGGATGGGCCTGAGGCTCAGCAGGGTGGGACACTTTTGGCACCAGTTGATGTAGAAACTGGGGAGGAACCCACTTCTGGAAAAGGAGGGAAGTGGCCCAGTTTCATTTCAGGAAGAGCAGCACTTGTGGAGCCTCTTAAACCACTGAAAACTGCTCAAGCCACTTCTGCTGAGCTACACACACCTTCCACCTTCCAGAACTGCCTGCACCATCTGGAGCATTCCTTCAATAGACACCAAATTGGTATTTTTATGACCAAAAAAAGCCCCATCTCATCCCCAGAAGCCAAGGGCAACACCACCCCCTCCAGCAGAAACATCCCACTCCTCAAACTGCCACCCTAAAAGCCAGACATTATTTAGGTTCCTTGACTGGTCAGAACCCCAAAAGCTCCTCAAAGGTTGAAAGATTCATTTTAAAATGTGTTCTGGAGTGTTTAGCAGTGGATTTGAGGGGGGCTGGACAGAGATTTAGATTGATACCCCAAAAGGAAGAAGAACCTTGGTGTGTGGTTGCAATGACTTGCTTTGTTTAGTCTTTTATCTTCTAATTACTCAACCTTAGGCATTTAAAATGAGATTATTTCAAAGAACACGACTTAAAAACAAGCATGGAACAAAGGCAGGTCTTGAATATCTCCCTGCACAGCCCATCCTGATTAACACCTCCAAGAATCTTCCCTTCAAAGCTTCATGTATGAAGCTAAAAAGCCAAGTTGTTCTTCCTGTCACCTCCCCCAAAACCAAAACAAAAAAGGCCATCATTTTGGTTCTAAACAAAGAATGACTTTCTTCCCTTTGGGAGCCAGCAGCTTTTTTGGTCACTTGGAAAAGGATTCATGTCTCCAGGCTTGGAGCCAGGCAAGAGGAACTTCAGCCCCCCAAAATCAGTTGATACCCAACTCAAAAGAGGGGGTTAGAATGAAGGTGCCACTGGGTTCCCTACAGAACTGCAAGGGTTTCCTTTAAAGATACATCATCCAGTGACCCAGCTTGGTTGGCACTGCTGTTGGTTTTATTTCTCACAAACGATGGATGTTCTGACAGCCCTTGAGTTGCAAATTGCAGCCCAGCTAGGAGTGCATCAGGAAAGGTCAGCAACACCCAAAGAAAAGAAACCCCTCCCCTGGGATGTGTTTTGTTGGTTCAGTGCAGAACTAGAGGTGCAGCTTCTGGATAAAAGGCATCACCCCCCTCCTTTCAGGGCTTGGTGGGATCTTTGCTGCACCAGACAAGCACATCCTACCCATGAGAAGGTGGTCATAAAAGCACCACCATCAGCTTCCAGCCTCAGCTGAAGGGATGGAAAGTGAAGCTCTGGGAATTCCTATAGAGATGGACAGTGGGATTCAAATGGAATCCATGACCCCTCTTTAGAACTGGAGCAGGGATTGGGAAGACAAGGGGTTTGGACCTGAGAAGTGGCTCTGGGATGGCAGCATCTCTGCTGTTCAATCCTTGGACAACATGAGATGCATCCAGCTTGCACACCAGAGGGAGAGCTCCTGTTGTCCTAAGGATGGACAGAAAACCAGCTCAGCTCCACCCTTCCACCAGAGCTCATGCTCATGCAGGGTTGGACAATGACAGCAGGATGACTTCCAAAATAAATCAAGTCTTTCTTGGTGCCACTTTCAATAGTTTCCAGCAAAACATGTGGCTCCAGCACATCCAGACAGCTCCTAACAACCCACATGGGATGATTTTCCACCCCCCCCAGGGTGAGATGACTCTTCATTGCCTCCTCACCTGCCCTCACTGCAGCCACATTACCCCAAATAAAACACCTGAGGATATAACTCAGCCTAGTTTGAACTGGAAGGGACCTTCAAGAACATCCAGTCCCACCCCCCTGCATGGGCAGGGACACCTCCCACCAGCCCAGGCTGCTCCAAGCCCCATCCAACCTGCCCTTCAACAGGGATGGGGCAGCCACAGCTTCCCTGGGCAACCTGTTCCAGGCTCTCACCACCCTCACAGTGAAGAATTTCCCTCTCATGTCTCACCTAAACCTTCCTCCTTCCAGTTTTAATCCATCCCCCCTTATCCTCCCACTCCCTGCCCTTGTCCCAGGTCCCTCCCCAGCTTTCCTGGAGCCCTAAATCTTCACTCACATATTTCTCCCCTGGTTTTCACAGGTGTCAAGTTGTCCCAGGGTTTCTACAGTTGGTAGTTTATTCTTCCTTAGGTGGCAGAAAATACCACCTGAGCCACCTAGGTCAGAGCCAGCTTGATGGGTAGAATATGTTTTATTGTGCTTTTCTCAGCCAAGTTTTAATTAACTAAAGAAATATGACTTTCCAGCCCCTGAAGGCTCATAGGAGATGGTTCCACCACCTGCAAGTTTTTGCTCTGGGGAAGGGCACATGGACCCTTGGCCCTTCCTCTCAGTGCAGCCCTTTCCTTCCCTAGCTCAGCAGGGATTTGAAACTCAGAACCAGCTGCCAACAAAAGCCTGAACCCAAACTCTTTGTGTTCTTCTCTCTGGGCAGCTGAGGACCCAAGTCATTCCCCCCACCAACCTCTGGCAAGCTTGTTCAATGCCAATTTAGGGTTTGAATTTGCAATGTTTTGGAGAGATCATGAAATCACAGAATTGGTTTGGTTGGAAAAGAGCTTTAAGATGATCCAGCCCAACCAGTGATCCTGCCCAGGCCAGCCCTGCCCCATGTCCCTCAGCACCACATCTACACTTGGAACCCCCTCCAGGGATGGGGACTCCAGCCCTGCCCTGGGCAGCCTGGGCCAGGGCCTGACAACCCTGGCCAGCAAGAAATGCTGCCCAACATCCCATCTACCTTGGGCATCACAGGGAGGAGGAGGCTCCTGCCCTGCCCACTGCCCTCATTGCCTCCCTTCCCTGAGGTCCCAGTTCCCAGGACACAGGGCAGGAGCTGCTGCCTGAGCCCCACAGGGCTGAGCTGACCCTGCCCCACCTCTCCCAGCCACACAGCCTGGCACAGCCCTGCCTGGCACAGGTTGGAACAGCTTGGAACAGCCTGGCATGGCCCTGCCTGGCACAGGTTGGCACAGCTCTGCCTGGCACAGCTTGGGACAGCTTGGAACAGCCTGGCACAGCTTGGCACAGCTTGGAACAGACTGGCATGGCCCTGCCTGTCACAGCTTGGCCACGCCTGGCACAGCTTGGCCATGCCTGGCACAGCTTGGCACAGCTTGGAACAGCCTGGCATGGCCCTGCCTGGCACAGCTTGG